GGTGGTCTACGCACCGAGCCACTTGAAGTCATAAAATACCTTCGGTCTTGACAAAAAATAAAACGTCGAGGGCCGAACAATTACGCAAGCGCAATAGCAGACAATGTCTAATATAAATGTTCGTTTGAAAAGTAATATTGGTACAGGGAATCTGCATTTAAATTTTATAATATTTATTTGGTCGTGATTTGGCGAATGATGGTCCGATTTGACAAGCAGCTTGAGATTTACGATCCCAAAAGGACATCAAACAAATCCGCCTATTCGAGTCACGACTAAAATTTATCAGCCAATTTCCTGAATGATTATTTCACTGATGAATTATTATCAAAGGAAAATAACGACGAAATATAATAACTAGATGCATTTACTGTTTTTCTCCATCACGTTTAGAATAAATAATGCATTTTGCATTACTTGTAAATCACTTGCAAAATTACTCGGAAAAGTAATTGTAAAATTACTTGTAAAATTAAATCTGCTAATCAATGAATCAATATATCCGTTAGTGCATATATTTAACTTTTCGAAAATGGATGTTCCGAGCCATTCAAAGTCATTTTGATTCATAATTAAAATATAGTAAACTCTCGCTACATTGCCACTCTTTATATTACCGGTTAAGACACTTCGCTTTTATACGGATTTTCATACATGGAGCTCTTTATACATTGCCAATTTCAAGAATTTTCCACTTCTACAGTTCCACTTCTTAACCGGCAATATATTGAGAGTTTACTGCATATACAAGTGCGAAGCCTGAATTGTGTAGAAAGTTAAAGTCATTATGAAATATGCTTCTCATGTAAACATCCTTTTTTTTTTAGTTGGATTATAATGATCCTTCAAATCTTGTGTAGGGGTTAAAGGAACATCGGGATAAAGATATCGCTTCATTTCCAATTGATCATTTATACTGTTCTCAATTAAAGTTCGACAGTGTTTTCTTTCCTTAAGGGTAGAATTTTTCATCGTAGGTACATACATATATAACGGGAATCGAGCTTCGAAGTAATTGAACCTCTAAACGTGCCTTTGCACGGATTTCTAGGAAATGCCCATTGTTATTCTGCGAACAAACCCAATGCTTCTTCCGTTATCGAGAAATTAAGCTTTGCGACCAGAAATTGAACAACAGAATTTCTGTGGAAGTGGCGATAAAATAATTTCCTGGGATCAAGTTTCTGGAAGTAGAATGGAAACTTAGACTAAGGTTAACAGTTATCTTAATTTGCATAAATGAAGTTGTTTTCGTTCTAATAACAAAATACGTGATGGAACGTTATTATGAGAATGAAACTTTTTGGAAATTACATTGCTTCCTCTGAATTTACTGCAGTACAACTGCAGACATTTCCTACAAGTTTCTTTCAATATATTATATAGTGAAATTGGCTTATTCTGATCATTTTGGGACTTGCTATTGTTTATAACAATAACCAGCTGATAACATTAAACAGGGAATAAAGAATATTCATTATTACTCAAATTATTACAAACAATTATGATCCAACCTCAATTTATTACAAACAATTATGATCCACATTCACTGTAGTAATATATATTGAAAAGACAGGATAGAGAAAAGACTACAGTAGACTATTGTTATATTCCTACACGAGCGATTTGACTTTCACAGGAAAAAAACATAGTTAGGTTGCTCTTTTATCATTATATGTAGTATTTTCTCTTCGTTCTTCAAATGGTCTTGAAAAATTTTGCGTTCCTACTTACTAATTACTAATTATTAATTACGTTCCTAATTACTAATAATTTGTCATCCGGTAAATTACCTTCAAAAAAGTTTTCATAAAACTATATAACATTCTGAAAATTAAAAATTTCATCTTTCGCGGGTAAGATAGGTCATTTATGGGCAAAACAAATTCTAACTTTTTTTCCGGATCATTTTTTCCAATATTTATTTTTCCAATTAATCCTATAAACGTTTGATTCAAGGGAACAATTGTATATTAACCATCAGACGGCGGACCATGGAGAGAACCCCAATTTTAATTTAACTTTGTATCTCATATTATTTTTATTTTCTAAATTTTGCACTGTTTTTTTCAAAATTACTCCTCCAATATACGAAACTCTTTCATTTAAGAATTATACATTTAACTTTGGATGAATATCCTTTTTTTGTAAATTTTATGTTTTGTAAGTTTAGGTCATCACTGATTCATTTTCCACTGTTCGAGATTTAAAGTAGAACCTTCAACAAGTGTCCTAGAAATTTTCCAGATTTTCCGAAAGCCAAGAACAGAAAAAATTTTAGTTGTGGACATGAATGACCTAGCTTGTTTATGGAAGTTGCAAACACTATGATTGCCCAACGGAGAGTTAAATAGGGTAGTTGTTAAAGCAGCAGATATCATTATTTTTATACGATAGAAATAAAAATATAATGACAGAGCAGAGAGATGAATCGTTAGTGATTTAGGTGAAAGAAAGCCCTAGTATTATGGCATAAAATGGAACAAAGCACTGTTTTACCCCCAACTGTCAGTTATGAAAAGACAGAGTACTATGTCAACAGTTATCAGTTTGAACTTACGTCAAATATGCTACTCACATTTTCTTATTCAACCAAAAGTCTAAAGTCTACAGTATACAACCTAAAGTCTAGACGCATTCATAAAAACCATTCATGCATCGTAGAAGCTGTACTTTCATTTAAACATCGACTTGAATTCTTCCACTTCCTTTCAAACATTTATCTTCTATATTCAGTCATGAAAATTTTTAACAGGTCGTTATGTATGTACATATCAACATACATTAATTGTTTATTTTAAATACTTTGCAGGTACAGCATAAATTGATTAATTGAAACAGATATTACTTTTGTCGAATAAAAATTAGAGATCCTCTAATGAGGGTTACGAAATAACGGTATCAATTAAGCATCAAATCGATCAACTCTAAAAAGACAAAATATAAAGAAATTGATAAAACAAAAAATTACCCATCACTTGAGTGCTATGGTACTAAAATTTCGACAAATTTAAAAAATGGAATTAATCACTTTAGCTTGTGAACAGCTCAATTTTTATTGGTGCTACCATATTTCAGCAAAAATAATAGATATAGTATGACTGTTTATAACCAATATCGTTGTATCTGCACAGTCGCGATCAAATTATACTTCCACAAGAAAAATGGCGATATAAGGAAAGCTGGAATTCTTAAAATTAAAAGTAATTTAGGAAAAGAAAAATAATATCACTTTCGATTATCAAATATAAAATTTAATATGTATCTGAAACAAGTAAATATTACAAAGTAAATATTAGGCTCGGCCCGCGTCATTTCTATCATTAAAAATCTACACCTCCGTTTCGTAAATGCCCGACTTGCCCCCGGTTTTCGAATACTTATCCAACTTATACTGTATTTTGCGACTCTAACCCCCATAACTGCCATTATGTATAAAATGCTTTTGAAGTTAAGAATGATTTTTTTTTAATTTGTATAACAATATTTAATTTGGAGGTTAATGAAATGTTGTTTAATCATTATTTTGATATATTTATTTATTATTATGAAGAATTCTTTAAATTAACATTATATTACATTGTATTAGTGTACTTGTATTTTTACAAACAACTCAAATAGTTTATATCTATTTTAAAAAACACATTATGGCACTTAACGTCTTGTTGCAAAATATAATACAGTTATATTCCCACGTGAGCGCTCTTACACCATTATAGCTTGCAGGGATGATACACTTTTAGCTCTCCTCCCTCTAAATAAGAACATGGAAGCTTGACAAATTTTCTATTTTTAAGGCCTCATACACGGCAATATAACGAGAGTCTTTTGTATTACATATGTTACTTTTTCTCAAGGATTTTTTAACTTTATTGAATTAAAATGTAATCAACTTCAACAAAAATTTATAAAGAACTGTCTTTTGTTGATTCAAGAAAAAAATTGTATTAAAATATAAATTTTTAAAATTTTTGTAGGTTAATAGTGTTTCGCGAAATAGCGTCCAACTGTACTTAAAGCATTTAACTTGTACTGTACTGTATAAAATTCTTATAACGATATAAAAATGGCTCAAACATTGCAATCGTTCATTAATATTATAAAGTTCTCAATATTGAAATATTCGATTTCAGCACGACCTCCTTTGTAAATAATCTTTTATAAGATTATAGGTATATAAAATTTCCAATATTGAAATTCTCGATTTTAGTGCGATTTCTTTCGTAAATAATCTTTAATTAATTAATATTCAATAACAGAAGTTTAAAGCCTCGAAATAGAATTATCCCTGCATAAATAATGCTAATCATTTATTCTAATTTATTCTAAAACAAATATTATAATTCTTACTCTAGAGATTCTATGTTGCCTCAATCCTAAAGAAAATGTTAAAGTTGCTGGTACGAAAATTTGTCCAGTAGCTTATTTGGATCTAGTTATCCTGTTTGGCTATCATTTCGGCGTGTTTGAATGCAAGGGTAGCATTTCAACTAGAATAAACCATGGTCTAAAACGCGATATTTATTCAGCGAGGATATAATTATCCTCACTTTTAGAATTCCAACCATATCTTCTTCGCTGGTGGTTGAAATTTTCAGACATTTCCCTGGATACCAAACGCGTCCAATGCACCGCACATAAACTCGAACGACTAGTATTTCATCTCGCTTGACTGGTTTAAAAATACGGTGTTTCCACTCGGTGAAAAAATTACGTCGGTTCAGATTGTTTTCCAATTTAGTGGGATACTATTTATATAGCTACCAGTGGTCTAAACCTTTCTTCGGAACATAAAATTCTATTGAATTTCGATAATCGTACGGCCAAAGACGTGAAGTATTATCTTTACGATTTTTCTTCTTGAAAACTAAAAAATAGTGTAAATTACTTAAGTACAATATACCATATTTCCGTACTATACCAATAGTTCAAAGACGAAAAATATAATAACATTATATTAATAACAGTCATCAGACACAATACCATTGAAGTAACCAGGATTTTTTTCTGAGGAGGATCGGATCTCTTGGAAATTTTGAAATTCCGGAATTTTACAACGATCACGCGAAATTCTTATGGAGAATGGCTTATGGCCAATTTTTCTGAAACTTTACAATTTAAACCTTGGAACGCTGAGTTGTGCGACGTTAAACGTGTGCTGTGGGCTGCACACTTTTTACGACAACGCGCATTGCACAAAAGCACACTTAAACGCATTCTTACTATGTTTTTATATCTCTAGGCTTACAATCATCAATCGCATATATGCGTTTATAGTCCAGATTGAATGGTTATGTGAGAACCCATATATGCGTTCATAGCCCATGGTGAACGATTTTCCCGAACGCATGTATGTGTTCTGTAGACCTTCTTGCGGGGGTGCACTCCATAATTTCTCACAAAAATCTTTACAATACGTTGGGCGCCAGCCACGTTTCGTGGCAATCGAAAAGGGGGAAAATCGGGGGTCTTTCACAGAGAAGGGGACTCGCGGCTCGACCGTGGTCTCCCGTCACACTATACGCGGGGGAGTACGCAAGGAGAGGAGGCGCTTGGGAAGGAAAATCTCGGGGGTGAAGGGTTCTAGGGAGGTTCGTTACGTTACGCGTCCAGAACGGGAAACAATAGGGAAGTCGTAGAATGGGGTTGGAAAAAGGGTATAACGATCGCGGATTAGAAATACGCGGACGCAGAAGATAGCCGTTGCTGGAACTCGGAATTACAAAAGGGGTATCTTGAGGGGCTCACCAATGCTGCAACACACTGCCCACACACACTATACAAGTATACGCCCGCTAACAAATCTCTAATGCTCACTCGTCGCTGTCGCGGTGACGACGAGCCTGTCGCACGGAATTTTGGAGAGGGGATTCGGGTCGGGGATTGGGTCTGTCTTTTAGGTGGGGCGCTAATTGGGACTAGGGATCCATCGATTGGGGATTGGCCGGTGATCGGGATCGATAGGGCTGACGAAGGTTCGTCGATGCTGGGCTGCGGGTAGATGACCCCACGATGTCGTTTTGGCGATTTGGATTGGGTTGCTCCTTGCCGATGCGGGACGTCGTCGGCCTCGGGGTGGGGTCTCCATTTTCGCAGCGTCGTTGTTCATTTCCTTCCGTCGCCTTTATCGGCCCAATACCGGCGGGTGGGGGAAGGGGGTAGGGTTAGGGAAAGGGGTGTTAAGGAGACAGGCGCGTGGCGGGCGAAATCTTGGCTATTATAACGGGGGGCGCTCGTGCCACCATGTTACAGTGTTCATAGCGCTCAAAAAGTTAATAGTGCCAATCAGCACAAAGTACGAGGGACAGTACTTTTCGGAATACAGCCCATCTAGGTTAGGTCTTTTTCTTCTCTTTATGTGGAGGGTGGTAGGTGTAACGTTGCGTCCTCGATGCATTTGTCTGCTTAAAACTATATTTTTTATTGACAAGTACTGTCCCTCGGACTTAGTGCCCATTGACGTTTTTGTTCTACAGGGAATTATTATATTGCAATTTCAGAAAAATTGGACAAAAGCTATTCTTCATAAGAATTCTGTGGGGTGCTTTGGAGTTTTGGAATATTCAAATACTGAAATTCTAAAATTTTTGGATTCAGGATTCTGAGATTTTGGAATTTAGAAATTTTTGTTGTTCACTTTAGTTGTTTTAATTGGCACTTATTCACTCACTCGGGTGCCTCGCTTGGATAGGCGACGCGTGCCTCCTGGTGATTAGTGTTTATTCGATTCGTTTCGGGAAAGAAGCTGTAGTTAAACTTGGTGGTCCTACACGATACATCGGCATTCCCGGATTACTACCGTTTACGGGTCTTGTTTGATAATACCCGAAGATTTGAGCATCTTCCTGTTGGCCAAGCGCGAGTCCAACAGTAACTTCTGCAACGCGAAACGATCAACGATCATAAAAGACGCCCGCGGAACTTGTCCACGAATTTTTATAATATTGCGGTAGGGCGTCGCACAATGGAACAAAACGGCTTTCGGCGATCAAAAGTCGATTTTCGTGAATTCGAGAATTGAAAAACTATTTGCGTACATGGATAGAGAATAAACTGTAGTTTAACGTAGTGTAATCCGTTTTTTCATATTTGCTTCCGTATGGCCGTGGTCCGCATTCAAAGTCAGTAGAAATTCGTCAGAGCGAAACGCTAATGAATTTTACTCGGAAAGATAAAATTCAAATGAATTATAAAGTTTACTAGATTAGTATAGATTCTATTCAGTGCATAAAGTATGTTAAAATGTTAACAGCTTTTTAAATAATAGGATCTGATTGAAACGAAGTACATTTAACTAAAATCTCAACTTTGCGTTTGATTTAAAAAAAATGCAGGCACTTGCGCGGGGTTTGATTATTACTGTAGTAAAGAGTGAACCTTCCTCTATCAGAATCAGAAAAAATTGGTTGCCCCTACTTGCCCCCGTTCAAGAAAATGGAGATTGAAATAAATTACACCCATCTTGGCCGCTGCGTACGATGATGGAAAAGCAGTACCAGATACCATTATTAACCAGTTAACTGTATTCGACGTGTATATTCGTCATTGTTTGGTTTCAATTACATATCTCGTGAGAGATTTTCAAAACTAAATCCCACAGTTAAATAGTCAATACGTCAATATTAACTTGCCGATCCCTTCTACAGTGATTGTAATTTAATGATCGCGATAATCATTTTTTAATTATTAAATTCGCTTCTATTACAGTTATTAACACTTTTGAGTCAAATTTTTGTTAAATAACATAAAATATGTCCAACAAGTGAAGGATATTGAACGCGCTACACTTTATACGCGAATATTTTGACACCCTGTAGTTCAATATGATTTATATTGATACAACTTAAGTACCATAATGTAGGCAAAAACTTCCCAAAATTTCATTAAAATATTTCCAATAAAACCGAAGTTATAGAATTTTGATCGCCGAAAGCCGTTTTGTCCCACTGCGTCGCTGAGCCAGATGTCTTTAACGGTTCGCCGACACGTGTTCACATATATAACGTACAAAATATTTGCTACTATTTATAAAACAAAATGACACAAATACATTCGATGTCAACGCGAAATCATATAAATTTTAAAACTTCAACTCGATTGCGGCACGGGTTCCTGTTGTTCAATCATGCTGAAACTTTGCAATTATTATTTTTTCACCAAGTGTCAAAATTTTGCGACGAAGAAAAATTGGAAGTCGAAAAATAAGGGCCACCCTAGTGAGTAGTCGAGATTTTTTGTAGAAGGCGGGCTCCTTCTGGCCTTTAGCTAATTGTGAGTACTTACATCACGCGTTACTCTATTAGATAACATTTAATTCTGCCTAATAAAATTCTTATCTACTTTCTATTGTTTTAATGCTATAGCTTGGCCCAGGTGTATGGAACAACCTGTATATTGTCAATATCATTGAACGCGTGAGACAGGAAATTGATGCATTTCCAATACTTAAAATATTGACGAGGTGGTTTGATGAAAGCCAAAGCATTTTAGTGGGTATTGATAAAGTAATGACAATAAATATTGACGGTCTGAGAACTTTCAACAATCTTTTGAAACGTGTGTTAGTTATAACGAAAAGAATTTTTGAAATCTTCTAGGGTGAATTCATAAATTCACAAAGAAATATGTTTCTCTTCTTAAAAGTTGTTTCTCAACTCGTACTTCTGTCTTCTTTGATTTTGCCATTAATAATATTAAAATAATAGCTACATAAGCCTTTTTTAATTACACGTTGTTAAATGCCAACTTGAAGCTAAATGTACAATCAATAAACCTTGAATGTATGAGCAAACATTAAAAATTAATAAATATTAACAGTATCGACACTGAAGACACCTCTTTATACAATAAAATTCCTTGATGTCACTTAAACATTCATACAATTTTACACTATCCTACAAATATTTGGCATTACTTATATAAGTCGGGACCGGATTAAAATTTCTTGTGCCTGTAGCTATCAAACCTTCAAGGCCCTTCTTCATTAATAAACTTGGAAAAAAATTAAAATTTATTCTAAATAAAATTAAATGACACTTAATCATAAGGAAAATAAAGAACAGTAAAAAAAGATTTCATTCAACATTTGTTGGCATAATGTAGCTTAAAGGGGACTTGAATACCCGATCTCGCAGAGTTTCCTTGTCGCAGAGATTATCCGTAAGAAAACCGTGCCGACGTGTGTCGAACCCTTTCTAGACTTTAACTAGACTCAAAGTGCCTTCACCGCCACCCTTTTTATACCCAAAAATTGGAATAAAAAGAGTGGTAGGGACGGACTCTACGTGATTCCGAAGGACCGCGCCTTTGCTTCGCGTTGGTCTCGAATTCCCGAAAATTTGACTAGGCTGGGTGTATACATCCAACTCCAAATAAGGAAATTTCAGAGACGGGAACATAACAATTGCCTTAATCATTTTTCCTTAGTCACTATTTCTTCGTCCACTTAGGTGCATTGAAGTATCTATAGCAATGTGATAAACTATTTTTTTTCTAAATGATACAAACCTTTTTTTAAGATTATCTCGTGCGTACTAACCACCCTTGTGCAAACTTTAAAACGCTGTCCTCACTTCCCTAGAAAGTTAACAAAATTAATTAAAAAAGTAAATATTTTAGTTAATTATAACATTTATTTTTTAGACGTCATTGTATATGGTGTAACGTCGCGAGGTCTCTCTCTCACTGAGTCCTCGGCGTTGCTTATGTATTTTAGAGTTGTTAGTTAGACAGAGGTTCTCACTTACCTTTCACTTGGCGAGTAGAACCTATCTTCGAATAAGACCTGTTGGGGTGAGTCGTCCAGGTATTGGAACGGTAGGGTAGATGGTTCGAGTGAAGATCACGCACTTCCGATCACAAGTATGTTTATTCACTACTGGTACAGTCTTTCGATTCGCTAGCGTTTTTACAATTGAAGTTTACGGAATCTTGCTCTATCGAAGCACTGAGCTTTCGTAGCAGAGTCGTGTAGATTTTTGAGGATTGAACTCGGAAAGGTACTTCGCGGATTATATTCGCGGATTTTAGTACTTGTACTTGAATTGAATTTCGAACTGCGCACGGCGTGAATTATTACTTTGAACTGCTAACTATCAACTAACTGTGCTCTCGGATATTATTGTTACTGCACGTTACGAACTAACGAACTAACTAACTGACTGCTACTAACTGAACGCGAGCGTGTTCGATCGCATTATTTTATATTGATGAAAGAGGTCGCAACGTTTGATTTGTCAATTCGGGTGAACCACCTTCGTTCGGGTTGTCAGCATTCTCACAGTACGTCGAACCGAATGAACTGCTCACTCAGAATTGAGAAACGATGAATTTGGATGATGAAAAATGAATTTCAAGAATGCATCACAGGACGTGACAATGGCATAATAAAATTATTGTAGAACATACATACAGGGTATTTCACGTAACTAGGTCATATTTAGCTCTAAAATGATAGAAGATAGAAAAAGGTTTTATTAGACAAAATTGAATGGTGTCGAATGGGCACCGTAATTCAATGCATAGGTTACGAAAGTATTTTATCAAGACATATCTCGGAAACAAATAAGATATTATATTTAAGATTCAGTCACGCTGTCCCACAACCCAAAAAATTTCATATCAGTCGACCACATGGGTCTGTGGCGGATTGTCGTGTTACTTTAGCGTCCGGGTCTTTGCTTGAGAAAGCCTGTATTTGTTTATGTTGCGTACGACCGGACTCGTGGGCTGGGCAATAAAATTGACAATTGCCAGAACCCCGGTTCGGGTTGGTCGAAGGAAAGTCAGGCTAGTCCTTGAAGGCGAAGGGTTTTTCCCCCCTTCCAATTTTCCTGGGACAGCGTGCGGATTCCGGAAGAACACCAGAACGATTTCGTTAGTCGCCACGAACAGTCCATTTTAAGTACATATCCTAATAAATATATTAATAATTAATAATTACAAAGTGTTAATTCACTTGCACCCACATCATCCTAAAGGTCTTTTGGAAGAATATTCATAACAATTACATTATTTCATTATCCACTCGATTCTTAATTTAATGGGTTAAGTATCATGTAAATTAGGCATGTCACTGGGCAGTTGACAAGAGCACTTTTTATTAATAATGTTAAAATATGCAGTAATATTCATCATCTTGATCCAATTCTTTAAAGTACTTTAAACATTCATTGAAAGTAATAATAATAAGGAGATTCATTTAGGTCTGCTTTTATTCGTTCAGTTCTATTTTGCTCCGTCTGTTTAGTTTTGTAGAGTTCAATCGGATACTTGACCCTGTGTTCTATTATCAGAAAACGTTTTGTCCGTCGATTGAATAAATTAAAATAAGTAATACGCAAGAATTTAGCGTAATATTTTTAATCGAAAAATTTAAATTGTTAACGTCAAGCAATTTATAGAAATGTACAAAAATTCTTATTACTAAATCCTTTCTTAATTGATCGCATAAAAGTGTTCTTATATTGTCAACTTGTTGCTTTATGAGAAATTTTATTTTACATAGCATTAATTTATAAATTGTAAACTACAAAGATTTCGTTTCAGATTGGAAAAATGCAATGACACTCGTTATATTGCCGCGGAGAGGGTTGTCGAAGTGTAAAATTTGTCAAGCTTCCAAGCTCTTATTTGGATGTAGGAGGTTAGACAGAAGTGTATCATCTTCGTAGGTTACAAGGATGTAAGAGCAGCCCTAGTATTCTTAAAAATCCGTATGAAAGTTTACATCGCAATATAACGAGAGTTTATTACAGAAAGAAAAATTATTTAACCTTCACATGCACAATTTCTTCAAAAATAATAAAATATTCTAAAATTACGAATTTATATGTTTAAAAACCACATAAAAGGAATGTTAAAGATCCATTCATTTTTTATATACTTTTATTTAAAACAGAGAGTTTGTTACCAAATGGTTATAATAAGTATATCTATGTATAATATTATACATGAACCAGTCGTAAACGGTCTATTGCAACAATTTCTGAAATAATTGTTATTCTTTTAAATTAAATTTATTCTTTTCGCATTTTATGTGTGTAAAATCTTTACGTTTGGAAAAAGTATCTTTAGGTTTGGAATTGGTGTTTTTTATTATAATGCATTTAACAAAATGTAGGTATAATTTACAAAACAAGTTATAATAATGGATTTTCTCAAATATTTCAAATAGTAAATAAAATTGATAGTTACCTTAAATCTAAACGAATCACAGTGCTATGTAAGTACAAGCATTGTCATTTGATGGTGCCGCTGTTTCGGTGTTGGATAATACGTCTTATTTATAGATCGAGTAGATTAACGACTACGCTATATATTTCTGTAATTATTATACCTTTCAGTTACGCTCAGTAGAGTGGACATATGCCACCCAAATGTTTATTATATTTGCGAATGACACAGTGACAATCAACTTAAATTGTTTTATGTTTCTTTCCTATCGAATCTAATGACAAAAATAATTTGATTTTTTTTTTCTTGTAAATGACAATATGATACTAAAATACTTATTGTTTATTGAAATTAAAAAAAAGAATATCAACACCATTAACTATTACAATCTATTCATGATTTGTACCAGGATTAACTTTTTTTAAGTCAATTTCCAGTTAAATAGCCTATTTTTCTTATCGTTCTTAAGATGTAAACTGGTTCCATAAGAGATAAGGGAGTACAGTAATTGACCTCGTACGGACGATAATTTTACTCTCGTGGTACACTCCTTATCAATTGCGATATAAGTTACTCCATGATTTGGTACATTAACAAGTTCCTCCAAATTCTTTTAACAAGTGCATCAAATCTTCTATAGAGGAGACGCATAATCTCGAAATTGTATATAAGACCTTAGAGTCTAAGGCTTAAACCCTCTCGCTCCGAATCAGTACTGTAAAAGACACGACGTTACGCTGTTTTATTTTATTTTATTTTTTTTTTTGAGGAGGAGGGGAAATGCTGTTACGCAAACCCGGTGGGCTACCCAACGGTACCACCACAACCGGATAGTGTGGGTTGTACGCTGTCGGTTTACGCATGATAAATATGTTTTTAGCACGAATTCGCGGTGAAATGGCCGATCGTCTTTTGTAACGCGAATTACCACCACCACGAAGTGTCGTACTTCCCTACAACCTTTTACCGTTGTAAGGAGAATAAATTGAATGAACACTGAGTATGTTTAATTCGTAGATGTGTTGTACAAATGTCTATGGTTTGTGTATGTTAAGACCTCAGAGGTATCTCAAATAGATATTAAGAAGCTGTGTCGGAGCGTATCGATAGAATCGTGAAAGCTGACTGTTCGTACGCAAGTTCTATCTGAGACTGACGAATTCAGTCCCCTCTAAGTCCCCAAGGCAGTTTGCCAGAAGCCGCAGAGAGATAGTCCAGCGAGAGAGGCGTACACCAAAAGTGACCAATTAGTAAACGTTTGGGGCTTAACTAATGGCAATAGACTGAACGGTTCAGCAAATCAGCTCGCTGGACACGTCCCATGTAATCCCGTCAAAGACCCAGCAGCTGCGGTGTACGTGGGAGTTTCAAGGTGCGTATTTGCACAGAACCGGTGATATCTCCCAGGCAAGGGCGACTGTGGGCCCAGAAACCCCTACGCGGGGTTTGATATATGGTTTTGGTAGTGCCTGGGACAGAGCGCAGAAGATGGTTCGAAGCCCCTGTTGGGGTTGGTAGAGCTCACAAGACACATGCGCGTCAGGGAGTTCACCTGGGACAAAGAGGAGAACGTCAAGAAGGTACGCAAAGGCGACCCAAAAGGAAGGTCTGTGCCTTTGTGTAGCCCGGCTAAGACTCCTGTAAAAATGTATGAAGAGCCCGTAAAGGATTGTAAATCGCTTGTTGCGAGCCTGTGGACAATAAGAGTAACCTAAATGAACGTTCTAACTTTACGGGCCTTGTTCTGTAGAAGGTCTGTTTAATGTTGGACCTTTTGACGCTTCATGGTAATTGCTTCGATACGTGACAAAATACCACTCCGACCAGCTTAAGAAGTTTCTAGCAATTTGACAATGTGCTATTGAACATGATTGACCGTGCTTCTAAATTGGTGCAGTAAATTCATCGTTTCATGAATTTACCGTTGTTACCATCTTTACCAGGTACGCAGAAGGCAAAACGGACGATGTCTTACGGTGAATTTATTGCTCTCGATAGTTAATACTACGCCGTGTAACAAAATATTCAAGTAACAAGTCTTCTCGTGGTTTCATTCTCCTTTTGCTACTACGGTTCAAATTTGGAAAAACCATGTTGGTACTGTAACAATAACCGCTTGGGCATAACACGTTCAAGGACTTTAACCAGTCGGTTCTCAGGGTTCTTTAGGCTACCGACACCCCGAGCCATATGTCTGTCATCGGACTTGGGACCGGCGGTAGCGATACTTCAGATGCGGCGACTTCTGAGAGTCGCGGATCCTCTGTTCATGAATCAGCCATAGAGAGTTCGATCGCCGATATTGAGAGTACGCGCGTGTAGCCGATGACTCGAAGTCACTGTGCTGCATGGTGGGTGCAGAGAGATAAGGGTGATCTGGAAGGATCTGGCAACAGAGTGGGGAAGATCTTGCATCTTCTGGTAAGGCCGGATCCACATTATCAGTTCGGTAAAATATAGTACAATGTAAATCTATGAGCGTATTCACACTCTCCAGCTCCGGTCCGATCACGTTCCAGTCCCGGTCCAGTCTCGATCACTCACGAAGAATATTTTCCTGAAGCGTGACTGCGCTCCTTCGTTTGAAACGCTTCAGCTTGTACATTTCTACCTTGTCTTCGTAGATTGATTACATGATTTGTCTCAATGTATTCCAAATTCTTTTCGCAATTTAAGATGGACTATTTCTAATAATATTATGCAGAATGCATGTCGTTAAAATAATTGTAGTGGCATTTTCAGAATCAGCTATGAGTTTTCTACAATAAACTCCCAAATGCACACTTGACTAATCTTCTTCCTCTACATAATCGATAATTAAATTTTTTTTTTCAATATCTTCTATACTTTTTGATCCTAGATAAAGCCGCATTAAATATTTCTTTAATGGAAACGCTTCATCATCTAATATCACATAAGGTGCTATTGTATTTGTTCCTGACAGCGGAGAATCCTCGGAAACATTCAATTTGTAACTTTGTAAACTTTTTC